GCAAGGAGGGAGGAGGAGGAAAAGGAAGCGCGAGGAGGGAGAGGAGAGGAAAAAAGCGGCGAGGAGGGAGGAGGAGAGGAAGGAAGCGGCGAGGAGGGAGGAGGAGAGGAAGAGGAGGGAGGAGGAGAGAAAGGAAGCGGCAAGAAGGGAGGAGGAGAAGAAGCAAGCCGCGAGGAGGGAGGAGGAGAGGAAGAGGAGGGAGGAGGAGAGGAAGAGGATGGAGGAGGAGAGGAAGGAAGCAGCAAGAAGGGAGGAGGAGAGGAAGGAAGCAGCGAGGAGGGAGGAGGAGAGGAAGGAAGCTGCGAGGAGGGAGGAGGAGAGGAAGGAAGCTGCGAGGAGGGAGGAGGAGAGGAAGAAGCGGCAAGGAGGGAGGAGGAGAGGAAGGAAGCGGCGAGGAGGGAGGAGGAGAGGAAAAAAGCGGCGAGGAGGGAAGAGGAGAGGAAGGAAGCGGCGAGGAGGGAGGAGGAGAGGAAGAGGAGGAGGAGAGAGGAAGGAAGCGGCAAGAAGGGAGGAGGAGAAGAAGGCAAGCCGCGAGGAGGGAGGAGGAGAGGAAGAGGAGGGAGGAGGAGAGGAAGGAAGCAGCAAGAAGGGAGGAGGAGAGGAAGGAAGCAGCGAGGAGGGAGGAAGAGAGGAAGGAAGCTGCGAGGAGGGAGGAGAGGAAGGAAGCTGTGAGGAGGGAGGAGGAGAGGAAGAGGAGGGAGGAGGAGAGGAAGGAAGCGGAAGAAGGGAGAGCAGAGGAAGCAAGCGCGAGGAGGGAGGAGGAGAGGAAGGAAGCGGCGAGGAGGGAGGAGGGAGAGAAGGAAGCGGCGAGGAGGGAGGAGGAGAGGAGGGAAGAGGTTCTTAGGCAGGAATGTGAGAAGAAAACGAGTGTTTGATAGGGAAAGTGGAAGGAGAGGCGAGGAGACGGAGGGCAAAGGGGGGAAGAGGGGAGGAGAGGGATGGCGAGGAGGAAACACCCGTTTCCCTTCCTTCAGCGGAGGGCGGCGTGGGAAGGGCAGCGATGCAGGTGCAAGGGGAGGGCAACGCTGTTGGAGGAGGGTTGGGGACAGAGGTGAGAGCAAGAATCCAATCCTTGCCTGCAGAGGAGGGAAACAACATGGGAAGGGCAGCGATGCAGCGTGATGCAGCGAAGCAACCGGTGCAAGGGGAGGGCTGCACGGTTGGAGGAGAGAGAGAGGTGGGAGGAACTCTGCCTTTACTTGGCTATACGGGCAGCATAAGAAGGCTGGTGATGCCGCTTCATAGGAGGGATATTGACGATGGGGAAGGGAGGGGGACAGCGGAAGGAGCAGTGGAATCCCTTGGTGGGAATGAGGGTATTGTGGGGAAGGCAGTGGTGCCGGTGCAAGGGGAGGGTAACGTTGGTGGAGGAGGGAGAAAGGAGCGAGAAGAAGAGAGAGATTTGGAGGACAAGAGAAGGGGAGCGAGGAGGGAGAAGAAGAGAGAGAAGAGGAGGGAGAAGAAGAGAGAGTAAAAGAGGGAGAGGAGGAAGAAGAGATGCAGGAGAGGAGGAAGAGGAGGGAGAGAAGGAGGGAGAAGTGGGGGGAGAGGAGGACAGAGAAGAGGAGGGAGAACCCACTCTCTTCTGTCCTAGGGGGATGGCAATGTGGGGAGTGGGGGAATGAATGGGTGTGTGGGAGAGGAGGAGGATGCTGCAGCTGGGCAAGAGGAGCACACAAGCTTGCAGGAGGGCGGAAGAGGAAGATGCATGCTCGAGGTGGTGTTGAGAGGGAAGGAGCTGGTTGCAGGAAAAGGCACCTGAAAGGCCACCTGAGGGAGCAGAAGAGGTACCTGAATGGGAAGGTGCGTTGTTTTGTGGGGAGGAGAGGCCACCAGTTCAACCTGAGGAAACACCTGAAGGAAACAGAGAAGGAGCACCTGAGGCGGGAGGAGATTCTCCTGCAGGAGGAGGAGGTTCACCTGAAGCAGCAGAAAGAACTTATGAAGCAGAAAGAGTCCTTTCTGAAGCAACAAAATGAGCAGCAGGAGTGGCACGTGAAACAGAAAGAGCTGCTGTGGGGGAACAGAAGGAGCAGCAAGAGATGTACCAGAAGCAGCAGGAGGAGCTGCTGAGACAGCAAGAGGAGCACTTGAATAGACGGAATGTGCAGCAGGAGTTTTACCTGCAACAAAAAGAGCTGCTCCTGAGGGAACGGAAGGAGCAGAAAGAGATGCACCAGAAGCAGCAGGAGGAGCTCCTGAGGCAGCAGGAAGAGCTCCTGAAGCTACAGAGCGAGCACCTGAACGACCAGAAAAACCACCTGAAGCGTAAAAGGCAGCACCAGGAGCTTCAGGTGAAACACAGTCGGATTTGGAAGGGTCGCTGCTTTGTACGACCTTGTGGTTCGAGAAGGGAGGTTGGGGTGAGGGATGGGGAGGGAGGGAGGGTGGAGGAGATGGTGGGAGAGGGACGGGCATGGTGAATGTTGAGGGGTAAGGAGGGTGGTGAGGGATGGAAAACGGGGAGAGGGGTGGGAGAGGAAGAAGAGGAGAGGGAGAAGGCAGAGGGGGGAGGTGGAGGAGGGGAGTGGGTGAAGGATGAGAGAGAGGGGCGTGGATAAGTTGGAGAGAGGATGGAGATAGTAGTAGTTTTAGAGGATGGGCGGGCTTGTAGGAGAGTGGATGTCAAGGAGAGAACAGGTGAGGTGATGCATGTGCTGAAAACAGATGCACTACCTAGCGAAGTTTGCTCCCATTTCACTTCGTTTTGTACAGGAGGTTGTGCTAAATTCTTTTTTTTCCCTGATATATAGTTGTGTTGGTTTGGTTAATTCAACTCTTGAAGCGTGAGAGTTGGATTGGATGCAAAGCTGGATTAGGCAAGTTTGGGGATATTTGCCTTATGCAGGGCAAAGATGAGTGTTTCATAATTCATGACGATGGATTTCCGGACGATGTTTTGTAATGTGATGGTGAGTAAAAGGAAGATCCACACATATTCTAGAGTGAATCCTAGAGTATTCTCCCTTATCAACCTTTTTTTACACGTGTCTATATTTTGTATATATCTATACGAACATATCAGCAAACTCAAGGATGTTGGCGTTACGTAAAGCTCCTCAACCGAACTAAAACGCACACAAACCAGCGGTTTGGTTGTCAGCCGAACCAAATAGCAGCAACCCCTTTCGGCTTCCACAACAGGTGGACTTTTGCACGGACAACGCACATAGGCATAGGCAGAATTAGGTCGTGCGTGTAGCTCAGACACAGTCAGATCGCGCGTGCGGCGCCGTTATATGCGGAGATGACATCCGCGGAAGATAAAATGGGCGGTTCGATTCCGCGGCGGAGCACGCGGAGGTCGACGCGACTGGCGCAGGTTAGCGGAGCGGAGGCGCGCGGAAGGAATAACGCGGAGGTTGGCGGAACGAACAAGGAAGGAGAAGTTAGGAAGGGTGTTGCGATTAATGACAGCGATAGCAGCAGTAGCAGTCGCAGCAGCGGCAGCAGTGGCAGCAGCAGCTCCCGAAGCAGCTCGGAAGGTTCCATTTGCAGCAGCAAGGGGTTTGTCGTGAGCGACGAGGACGAATTGTCAGATGACGACAGCATGACGTCAGTCGAGGACGAACGGTCCCCGCGGGCAGGGAGGAAAAGTTCTGCGCCGGTCAGAAAAAGCAATTGGGAGGTGAAAGGGGAGGTAAAGGGAAATGAGGCTACGATTAGGGTTAGAGGAGAGAAAAAAGGTAGAGGGAGAAGCGAAGGGGGGCAAGCAGGGGGAAAGGTAGGCGGAGGAGGGGAACGGAACGGAGCGGGAGGGGAAAAGAAAGGGGGAGGGGCAAGCGGGGAGAAAAGGGCGCAGGGCGGAGGGTTGAAGGGGCTGAGCGGAGGGGGGAAAAAGGGAGATGCGCGCACATTTGCGGGCATGGTTGGGGGCACGGGTGGGGGCGTGGGTGGGTTAGGAGAGGGAGTGACGGAGGGAAGAGCGGAGGGGCCAGGGGGGAAACGCGCAGAGGGGAAAGCGGAGGGTAGAGAGGCGAGACGAGCAGAGGGAGGAGTAGCAGCAGCGGCAGCGACAGAAGAAAGGGCAACAGCAGCAAAGGGGCGTGTTGATATGCAGCGGGCTGTAGATGGATGGGTTGACCCTGTAGCGGAGTACATAGGGTGGTCTATAACGGGGATGAGGAGGGGAGGGGGAGGGGATATGGGAAGAGGGGAGGAGGAGGGAGGATGGGGCGAGGAGTGGGAGGAGGAAGGGGAATGGGAGGAGGAGGGCGAGGAGGAGGGGGAAGAGGAGGATGGGGAAGAAGAGGGGGAAGGAGATGCGGAAGAGGAGCGGGAGAAGGAGAAGGGAGAGAATGGGGGAAGAGAAGGACGGAAAGGGATCAGTAGCAGCAACGGGAAGCCGTGGGGAAAGGAGCAGGAAAACGGAGGGGCAGGGAAGCTTGTATCGAGTACAGATGGCTCAGCAGCGCATGAACAAGTAACAACGAATCGTCCCAGCTGCAAAAAGTGTACAGAGAAAAAGAGGTGCAGAGACTGCGAGGGGTGCAAAGAGGCTGGGAGCGGTGGAGAAGCAGATAAGAGGGGAGAAGCAGACTCAGGAACAGCAGGAAAGGCAAGAGAAGGTCGGCCAGGCCCAGGAGAAGTGGGAGAAGCGGGAAAAGCAGCAGCAGCAGGGCATCTAAAAGAAGGCGGAGATGCGACGTCACTGCATCACTTGAATGCTGGTACGGCAAATGCTGGTCCCCTAGATGCGTACGGGGATGCTTTAGAAGACAACACGGACCCCCTGGGAGGGTACATAGATCCGTTGGAACAGTATATGCTGTGGTCTGGCGTGGGACTGGGGGGAGAGGGCGGGGGGGGGGAGGAGGGAAGATAAGGGGGAAGAGGTGGGGGAGGATGTGGGGGAGGATGTGGGGGAGGATGTGGGGAAGGCGGAGGTAGGGGGAGATGTAGGGGGAGCGGTGGGGGGAGGTGTAGGGGAAGAGGTTGGCGGAAAGGTAGGTGAAGAGGAGGGGGATGAGGTGGGGAAAGGGGAGGTGGGGGAAGAGGGGATGGAGAGGAAGGAGGGGACTACGGGGGATGAGAGGAGAGAGGAGGAAAGGCGAGATAAGGAGGGGAGAGAGGAGGAGGGGAGGCAGGAGGAGAGAGAGGAGGGAGGGCAAAAGGAGGGGCGAGAGGAGGGGATGCAAGAGGAGGGGAAAGAGGAGAAGGAAGTTATTGAAGGGCGGGGTGTGAGAGAGGTTGGAGGGGAGAGGGAGGGGAAGGAAGGGAGGGGAGTGAGGGAGGTTGGAGGGGAGAGGGAGAAAAAGGAAGGGAGGGGAGTGAGGGAGGTCGGAGGAGAGAGGGAGAGGGGCGAGGGGAGGGAGCAGGAGGAACGGGAGAGACAGGGAGTGGGGGATGAAGGGCAGGGTGTGGAGTGTGGTGGTGGCAGAGAGAATAATGGGCAGAATGAGAATACTAAGGATAATGAAATTAGTGAGGCTAGAGAGGATGACGATGTGGTGGAAGTGACTGAAACGGGAAAGGGAAAGGGTGAAAAGGGAGGAGGGGAGGTGGGTGATAGTAGAGGAGAAAGGGGAGATGAAAGTACGGGGCGTGACTGTGAGGGGGAATGTGACGTTGAAGAGTGCGAGATAGTGGAGAGGTGTGTTGAGGTGAGGGATGGTGAGGGTAAGGATGCTGAAGAGAGAAGGGAAAGGCGAGTGGCTGGTGGGTTGAGAAGAGGGCGAGTTGGAGAGTTGGGCAGGAGTGGAAGGGAGAAGGGGAATGTGAAGAAGAGAGAAAGGGAGGGAAAGAGGAGTCGGAGAGGAGAGAAGAAGACGAGGGGGCACGAGGAGGAGGAGGAGGGAGAGGAGGAAGAGGGGGAAGAGGTAGAGGAAATTGAAATGGTGGAGGTTGGGGAGAAGGAGGAGGAGAAGAAGGTGGGGGAAGAAGAGGTGAAGGGCAGAAAGAGGGGACGAAAACGGAGTAAGCACGAGGAGAGGGAGAATGAGGGGGGTGTAGGTGGGAAGGAGGATGAGGAGGAGGAGGAAGTGGAGGAGGTAAAGGTGGAAGATATACAGGAGGGCGAGAACAAGAGGAATAAGAGGAAGCACACGGAGAGGCAGGGGGGAGTAAAGGAGAAGAAGGGGGAAAAAGGGCCAAGTATCAGGAAGAAGAGGAGAAAGAGAAGGATTGGGAAGAGGAGGGGGAGGAGGAGAGTGAGGAGGAGGAGAATGAGGAGGAGGAAGGGGAGCAGGGTAGAGGAAAGAGGAGGTGCAAGCAGAAGGAGAAGCGGTATGAGTGTGGGCAGTGTGGCATGGCGTTCACTCGACCGGCATATGTGCGACAACACATGGCCACCCACGCGAACCAGGTGGGCTGCTCTTACTCTCCTCACTCACTCACTCACACTCACTCACTTACCTGCACCCGTGCTAGGTTTCTCACCCATCCACCCGGCCATCATATGTGAGGCAGCAGCACTTGGCCATTCACTCCCACCAGGGGGGTTCATGCTCACTCCGCTAGCTCTTGATGCCCATCAGTCGACTTTTGAGACGTCTCAAAACTCTTGATGCCCATCAGCTCTTTGTCCGCATGAGGAGGACTTGGAAGGCCTCACTCACTCACCCACTCAATCACTCCGGTTCCTTACTCTCCCTCCCTCGCCTTCCTACCACTCCTTGCTACCCCATCCCACCCATTGCCTTACAGCAAAAGTCGTTTGTGTGCCCACACGAGGACTGCTGGAGGGCCACACTCACTCACTCCCCCTCTGGTTCATTACTCTCCCTCCCTCGCCTTCCTACCACTCCCTGCTACCCCACCACTTGCCTTACAGCAGAAGTCCTTTGTGTGCCCACACGAGGACTGCAAAAGAGCGTTCGGGAGGAAGTACCACCTGCAGCGCCACATGCAGTCGCACGCCCCCGACCGGGTGAGTTGTTGCCTATCGTACATGCCGAGTCACCTTGTTCGGGAAAAGGTACCACCTGCAGCGCCACATGCAGTCGCATGCTCCCGACTGGGTAAGTCCCTCCCTTTCCGTGCTACTGACGCCAGCCCAATCATATGAGTCGACTCACAAGTCTCATTATTCAGCAAGAAGTAAGTACCACCTGCAGCTCCACATGCAGCCTCCCATCCCATGCCCTCGACCAGGTAATTCCCTCCCTTTTCCATGCTACCAACGTCAACCCAATCATCTGAGTCGAGTCACAAGTCTCATTATTCAGGAAGAAGAAGGAAGACTGCAGCGCCACATGTTTTGAGGCGCCTCAAAGCCAGTACCACCTGCAGCGCCACATGTTTTGAGGCGCCTCAAAGCCAGTACCACCTGCAGCGCCACATGTTTTGAGGCGCCTCAAAGCCAGTACCACCTGCAGCGCCACATGTTTTGAGGTGCCTCAAAGCCAGTACCACCTGCAGCGCCACATGTTTTGAGGCGCCTCAAAGCCAGTACCACCTGCAGCGCCACATGTTTTGAGGCGCCTCAAAGCCAGTACCACCTGCAGCGCCACATGTTTTGAGGCGCCTCAAAGCCAGTACCACCTGCAGCGCCACATGCAGCCTCCCATCCCATGCCCCTGACCGGGCCAGTGTTTGCGTCATAGCACATGCTGCGACACGTGAGGCTGTTCCTTTTATTGATCTCCTCTCCCGATCCTTTCCTTCCTCTACATCCCCACCCTCCAGTTCCCCTGCTGGCATTCCCAGTGCGCCCAGTCGTTCAGCCTGCATGCTGCGGCACGTGAGGGTGTTCCCCTTGTTCTCATTTCCCCATCCTCTCCTTCAATCTCCTCTCCCTCCGCCCCACTGCACCAGTTCCCCTGCCCTCACCCCCAGTGTTCCAAAACGTTCAGCCTGCATGCCAGCATGCAGCGACACGTGAGGGAGCAGCACTGGGAGGAGGAGGGGATACGCGACCGGCTGGATAGAGTCAACAAAGAGATCAAGGCGAGGCAGCAGGAGGAGGAGGGGATACGCGACCGGCTTGATCGGGTCAACAGAGAGATCAAGGAAAAGGAGGAGGAGGGGGGAATCGGGGATCGGCTGCGTAGTGTGAAGCATAAAGGAGGTGGAGTTAGGGAGAGTAAGGGAGCTGGAGCCGAGCATAAGGCTCAGGAAAAGGGGGAGAAAGCACAGGAGAAAGAACAGGATGAAGCACAGGAGGAGGCACAGGAGAAAGCACAGGAGGAGGCACAGGAGGAGGCACAGGAGAAAACGCAAGAGAAAGCACAGGAGAAAGCACAGGAGAAAGCACAGGAGAAAGCACAGGAGGAGGCACAGGAGGAGCCACAGGAGAACACGCAAGAGAAAGCACAGGAGAAAGCACAGGAGAAAGCACAGGAGAAAGCACAGGAGGAGGCACAGGAGAAAGCACAGGAGAAAGAACAGAAGAAAGCAGAGGAAACGACACAGGATAAAGCACAGGAGGCGGCTCAGGGGAAAGCAACAGAAGCAACAGGAGGGCAAACAGGAGGGGTGGAGGAGAAGAGGAGAGGGGAGCAGGATAGGCAAGGTCTGGAAGAGAGGATAGGAGGGGAGGAGGAGAGGATAGGAGTGGAGGAGGAAAGGAGAGGAGGGGAAGAGGATAGCAGAGGAGGGGAAGAGGAGAGGAGAAAAGGCGAGCAGGAGAAGAGAGGGGGCGAGGAGGGGGTTGGAAAGGGTTTTTGTGCGATGGAGAGTGGTGAGAAGGGGTGTGACACTCAAATGTGTGATGCTGATTTGTTTGATGCTGCTGAAGCAGACAGGCAGGAATTTGCTGACGTGGAGGATAACAGAGAGATCCCTGCGACCAATGGGAGAGCGGGTGCGGTGCAAGGGATGCACGGGCACCTGCAGCAACAGAAGCGGCACCTGAAGAAACACCTGGGGGTTGTTGGGGATCATGTGGAGAGGCACCTGAGGGAGAAGGAGCAGTGTGGTATGGAGGTGAAAAATCACCTGAAGCAACAGAAGGAACAGCTGAGGGCAATGAGGGAGCACCTGAGGAGGAAGGAGATTCTCCTGAAGGAGGAGGAGGAATTTCTGAGGCGGCAGCAGGAGCACCTGAGGCAGCAGAGGGAGCACCTGAAACAACAGAACGAGGACCTGAGGCAGCGGGAGGAGCAGCTTGCAAGGCAAGAGAAGCACCTGGGGAAACACCTGAGCGGGGAGCACATGGGAGGGAATGGGCTGTTGCTGCTGCAGGATGCAGTATGCTTAAGTTCTGGTGCTGCTGTGGGGACGACTGGTGGTGATGTGGTGGCAGCTGATGCTGACGTGGCAGCTGCTCGTGCTGATGTGGCAGCAACTGATGGTGATGCAGAAGTGGCTGTTTCTGATGTGGCAGGTGGCGATGGTGATGTGGCAGCTGCTGGTGGTGATGTGGCAGAAGCTGTTGATGAGGTGGCAACCAATGCTGATGCAGTGGCGAGTGCTGGTACGAGTGGGGGCGATGCGGGGGCTGATGGGGATGCGGGGGCTGATGGGGATGCTGATGGGGGGGTTGGTGGGGCCACTGTCGGGGGAGCTGGCGGGGGAACTGGGGGGAGAACAGTGGGGGGCACTGTTGGGGGCACTGGCGGGGGAACTGGGGGGAGAACAGTGGGGGGCACTGTTGGGGGCACTGGCGGGGGAACTGGTGGGGGCACTGGTGACAGGGAGAAGGGGAGCGGGAGGGAAGATGACGGGGAGATGATGGGAGGAGGCGAGGGAAGGGGAGGTGGCCAGGACGTTGGTGGAGAAACCATGGTGTTAGGGGGAGTGAAGAAGTATAAGCAAGCAGGGATGATGAGCTGGAAGCGAAGGAGGTGGTGTGATAAGGACATGGTGAGACAAGGGGACATGGCAAGAGATAAGGATGTGGTGAAAGGCAAGAGTAAGATGGCAGGAAAGCTGGTAAAATGCAAGGAAAGAGACGGCACCATGCAGATAGACGGCAAGTCAAGAGAGAGGAAGCTGGAGGCATCGGGAGAAGGGAAGTCAAGGGACGGACCATGCAAAGGCACCGAGGCAAGGCAAGCGGAACGAGAAGAAGGAACGACCACAGGAAGCGAGGAAGAAGAAGACACGTCAGCATCAAGTGACGAGGACGCAGCAGCAGCAGCAGTAGCAGCAGGGGAGGGCACAACGGGCACAGCAGAGGGAGCAGACGGAACAGCGTCAGCAGGGGAAGGCGCAGCAGAGGGGGCGGACGGGGCCATATGCGGCTTCTGCTTCGCTGCCTTCCCGTCCCTCTCTGCCTTGGAGCAACACACGCAGCAGCAGCACCGCTCCGTACCCTGCCCGCAGTGCAACAAGCGCATCTCCTTCTCTCGCTTCAAACGTCATCTCAAGGAGCAGCATGAGGTGGAGCAACGACCATCCCACCCGTGCAAGGTGGATGGGTGCAACAAGGCATTCAGCTCGGTGAGTCCCTGTCTCCCCACTGCTGTAGCAAGCATGTGCTTTTACTCCGTCTTTCTTCTCAACTCAAGCAGCATGAGGTGGAGCAACGACCATCGCACCCATGCAAGGTGGATGGGTGCAACAAGGCGTTCAGCTCGGTGAGTCCCTGTCGCTACTCTCCCTTTCCCCGTTCTCTCCTCCCCCCGCCCCACAACCCCCCCTCTCCCCCTCAGAACAGCCCAGCAACCTAAGGACGCACATCAGGGCATGCCACAACAAAGATCGCCCCTTTGCATGCTCCGTCCCAGGCTGCTCGCAACGCTTTGCATACAAGTTCACCTCTCCCTGCCCTCCGTTTCCCCCTTTTCTCTCCCTCTCCCTCACTCACACTCCTCCTCAGTGCAGCCCAGCAACCTGAGGACGCACATCAGGGCATGCCACAACAACGATCGCCCCTTTGCATGCTCCGTCCCAGGCTGCTCGCAACGCTTTGCATACAAGGTCAACCTCTCGAGGCATGTGGCAGCCATACACGAGATGACACCTGCACAGGTGAGAGCAGTGCGCACTGCGTGATGTGTGTCCAGGAGCTGTATACCGGGTGCAAACACTCCCAGCATGCTCCCAGCGCTTCGCCTACAAAGTCAAACCTTTCACGCCACATCGCTGCAATACACGTGCTCACACCCGCAAGGATCTGTTGCTTCTCTCAATCTCTTTTTCCCTCTGCCGCACCTGTCTCTGTCTTGCACCCGGTTTCTCAATGCCATTAAACAGAACGTGGTGGAGAGGGATGAGGCCATGCACAAGCGACAGAGGCTCACAGGAAGACCTTCGGGTTCTGATGGAGCAGCGTTTCTCAGTGAAACGCTGCATGCTGTAGATGCAAATTCTGGAGACGGTACCGCAGATGAAGAACGTTGACTTACGAGTGTTAATATGTACATAACTGTCTATGCCTTAAATCGCATGTGTCGTGGTTTTATCTAACTGAGCCGTACTTCATATGTACTTGATCACCCAGCAACTCTAATGGGGTTCACAGGTGTACTCTAGCGAGGTAGAATTTACTGAAACGGGGCACACTCTGCTGAGAATCGGTTGGTGATTCTGCTGCACGCATGCACCACGGGTGCAGTTGTTTTTTATTGGCGTAGCCAGCCGGTCAGAATGACCCACGTGGGGGGATGCACTTGCCAGCCAAACCTTGCGGGTCTGGTCTGGAATTTATAGTGCTCGGGAGATCAGGAAGGATTCAGGAATCAGGACTCGGACTTGTTGAAGAATTTTGACACCCATGCGCTCCAGGCTACCGCTCGTGTATTTCAAACTTTTAGGTGTAGAGCTGCGAAGCCCAAGCAGTTCACTACGAAGAATTCACCCCACGCACCTCTCTCACGACCTCAATGATTATTGAAGTTTATGTTTGTAAAACAGTTAGAGCCAAATTGCCAGAGAGTCACACCAACAAACTACGTTTGACGTTTTTCCTGCCCTGACCCGACGTATCAGGGATCTTCCAGGATAAAATGTGCAGCGCATCGGACCTGCTGTTTGATCCTCCGCACTGCAGCGATCCCTTCCCCCCGGTTAGGAATCGCAGCATTGATCGCCCGTATCACTCCCCTTTTGTTTATGGGAGTCCCGCCATCGCCACTCGTTACATCACTTGCCGATACAAGGGCGGGTACAGAAGTCGGGTCCGCACAACCTTTTCTGTCCATGAGCTTCGTCGTGCGTAACAAATCAGTGGTAACAAATATGCTCCACTCTGGCCTCAGTGACGTATCTGACACTTACGAATAATCGTAACCTCATAACCGGCAATCGAAAATCTCTTGGGTACCGGTTCATCCTTTCAATCTTTTCTGATTGCACAGGGAAGCGCTGTAAGGTCGTTTCCAAACTCCAGGGAGTGGGGGATTGGTTTTCTCTGGGCTCTGGTTCCACCGTCCAGCCAGTCCCGAGGAATTTCGAGGAGGATTTTGAGGAGTTACCGCAGGGAGCTTCGTGGACCCGTTATTTTAGCTCAACCTGCAATGGTATGTTATTTTTCCCTCCTGAATCATCCGCCATGGTGATGGAGGTTAGAATGTCTTTCGACGAGGCAGAGTTTTTCCAGCCATATCCGCCTAACGTATCTGGTTCGATAGATGTGAACGCTTATCTATTGGCTCCTAGAAAACAAGTACGTCTTTGGACTAATCTCTGCACATGCTTCGTTCGCGAGTTTTTGGTTATAAGTGTCTCTATCGCACCGTACAGGAGTATTTAGAATATTACTGAAAATACTCGAACGCTTTTGCCTTTGTTGGCTCATGCTTTTGCGCGTCAAGTGTTTCTTATTGGAAAAGCTGTTTAACAGCATAATTGAATCCACCGGTATCTCTTCGTCCTCCCCTTATGCAGGTGAACTTATCACCTGGTCAAGTCAACGCTTTCATCTGGTGTCTTCTTATCGGTTTCACGGGATGGCTGCTTCACTGGCTTCTCGCCTACGTCTCTCTATGGCGGCGGGGAAACCAGTTCCCTGGTCCCAAGGGTCACTTCCTCTGGGGAAACACGGCAGAGCTTTCGGGAGCTGGAAGCGTTACCGGTACGCTTTTCTCACCGTTTCAGTTTTTCGTTCCGTCTCTCGCGCTTGCTAGCGCCGCAGTTATTCGTTCAGTCTCCCGCGTTTTTGTCATTCTGGAGCCATAACCTGCCGTGTAGCCGTTTTAACGCCACAACACATTTTCTCGTTTCCTTTTTCACAGACCTTATCGCAAGGCTTCACTCGGAGTACGGGCCCGTTGTAAGGCTCTGGATGAGCCCGACGAAGCTGCTTATATCGATTCGCGACCCGACGCAGGTTCGCAAGGTGCTGATGCGAGCTCTTGAACGACCGCCGGCCTTCAGCCGAATCATGGCTCGCTGCCTAGGAGCGGATTCCACTCGCTTCTCTTCCCTTATGCAGCCGCGGGCCCGCAGGTCCTTCTTAGATTACCACTGCCATACCACGCTCAAGTTTCAGGTTCACGAGGTGACGTCAACCGTCGTTCACATGACGTCACGCCAGTGGACGTCCGTGGCCGGGTCTGGCGGGGAGATTGACGTGGGTGGTGTAGCTAGGGATATGGCCGTTGGTGTACTTGGTGGTTCTCTTTTTGGTAGCGGGTTTCCTATGTCGAGGATCCACGCTCGCTTACAGGTTCTATTAGAGAAGATATCTGCAGGAGCGCAGGTTTTTTCGCGGTTTCCAGTCGAACCGTTTTGGCTTCCGTCGTATTGGCAGTTTTCCCGCGTTTGCGACGAGTTTCGCGAAGTTATGCGAAGGCTCATGTCAGGCGAATGCGAGGGCGTCAAGTGCGAGTTACCCGACATTGGCGTTGCCAACTTCAGCAGCAGAGGTGGCGACTCGGGTAATTCCGGATGCGAAGGGGAAGGAGCCTCGCAGAATCCCGTCGCCGCGGCTGCTGCTTCCGGTGGTGTTAGTCTTGTTTCCGGCGTCAACATTGGTGCTGGTGTTGACGCTGCTGCTGCTGCCGTATCTTCCACTTCCCCTAGGCGCCGGGTCATGGCGCAAGGAGCGCCTCACGAGGGTTTTCTCTCCGCCATGCTGTCGGAACGGTCCCGTTATGGGCAACCGCTTTATAACGAGACGACAGCGTTGGCGGAAGCCGCGTCCCTCATGCTTCACGGTCACCTCTCGGTTCCCGGACTGTTGGAGCGAGTACTCGTCGCTCTCGCTGCACACCCCGACATACAGGACAAAGTCGTACAGGAGATCCGCGCTGTAGCGAATGGCGGAGCGCCTATTGACGAGGATCTGCAGAGGCTGGCCTATCTGAACGCGGTTATATACGAGACGTGCCGCTTAATGCCGTGTCAGCCGCTGGTCACTAGATGCGCGCTTTCGGAAAATATACGTCTGCCTGTCTCTCCGTCACCTCAGTTTGGTAGCAGCAGCGACGGAGGGTTTCGTTTTGCGAGCGAAGGCTCTTCTTGTGGGGAAATGCACGGGGATGTCCATGAATGGGTGCAGAGCGGTGGAGATGGTGACAACACTCGGTTTCTTTCGGTTCCCTCTGGGACCGTTTTGGCGCTGCCCATGCACCTCCTGCAAACGGACCCCTCGTTTTGGGGCGACGACGCTTTGGAATTCCGGCCTGAGCGCTTCATTCGGTTCAGAATGCAGCAGGAGAAGAGCGACAGTGACGGGAAGGAAGGGCAGGAAGGGCAGGAGAGCGAGGGAGGGAAGGAAGGGAAAGTAGGGAAGGGAAGGAAGGGAAGCAAGGGAGGCAAGGGAGAAAGGGAACGGAAGGGAGAGGGGGAGGGGGGGCATTGGAGAGAGGGGTTGGTTCCGGGGAGGGACTATGAGTGTGTGGCGCCGGAGCAGGGGGAGCATTTCCTCATGTTTGGAGGCGGGCCGCGGTCGTGCGTGGGACTGCGATTTTCTTTCAAGATCGTGCGCGCAGTTGTGGCGCTGCTGCTGCACCAGTTTGAGGTGAGTCGCCTGTTCCTTCTTCCTGTCATCATTCCCCCCCTGCCACACACACACACCCCCCTGCCACGTATCCCCCCTCGCACATGTCTCCCGGCCATGTCTCTCCCTGCCACATTCTCACAATTCTCACAGTTCTCAAAATCCTCGCAATTCTCACTTGTTCTCTCTTCCTCTTCACACCCCTTCCCCCATGCAGATCTCCCTGTCGCCCGACATGCCCCACGCCTTCTCCTCTCAGCTCTACAACCTCGCCCTCCACCTCTCTCCCTCCCCTAAGATCCGAGTCTCCATGCGCACGCCCATTCCTACCATGGACCCGTGCGACACTCTTGCTCCTGCTGACGTTGCTCCTGCTGACGATGACCTCACAGCAAGTTTTTAGCCTTGCCATGCGCACAGCATGTCAGGGTTTTGTCAAGTGCCCTATGGGCTGCTCTGTGCTTGTTTTTTGGGCCTTTGGTCTCGTTTCTTGCCCAGGCATTCATTCTGAGCTTGTTATTTGTTCTTTTTTCATTTCTTTTGTTTTCTATGCTGTCTGTCTTTTTCCTCCGTTGGGAGAATGGTGTTTGCACTGGTATGCAACAGGCTGGCATGTATTTCTTTGTCCACATTTTCTCATGGGGGAGTGTTATCTGCTAGTTTTTAGCCAGCTGGTCATGCTAGTTTTAAAGCATTTGATGTTGTTTGTGTTTTTTCCTGAGATATTGCTGCACTTGGCCAATGCATTGATTAGATGACAGCTACTGTTACGGTATTGTGACAGCAGTGGAACAGGGAAACTCAATGTCATCAACTGACCGGGAAAGATATCCCCTCCCCTAGTGGCAGATGGATGCCTAAGGATGAACACAAAATCTACCGTATAGAGAGGTTTTCAATCCTTTCAAAGAAACTTTACAACATAATTCCAGTGCATTTGGCTTCCCCTACTGAGACTGCTCAACTTTGCACACTGTCGCATTCCTGTAAACCAATCCCCTCCTGCAGTAAGACCCGAGCGCGGGATTGCAGTGCACGTCAGCAGCACAGTGACAGAGGCCTCTCATAGCACACTGGTCACCATACACCTGCACTGGCTGCTGGGACAAGCCCAGAACCCGCTTCGCCCACTCGTTCAAGAAGAGACCTCTTGGATCAAACGCTTCCCTGCGTGATGCCACAGCATGAGAGCATGGGTTAGAAGTGTGTCAAGAGTGTGCCAGAGTGTGCCAGCATGTGTCAAATGTCAGTGTGTCAGAGAGTGTCAGGGTATGTCAGAGCGCATTTCCAGCAAAATTTTGGTCACATGATAGCAAAGTAACCCGTAACCAGCCGCACCTGACTTTGAGGAAGCGAGGGAGGTGGGGGTACTTGCTGGGGACGTCAATGAAGGAGACATCCTTGTTCTTTCCCCAGTGCGGCTTGCCGTTGAACATCTTCCCTATGATCTGCTCATACTCATCCGTCACATCCTGCCAGACCAGCGGGGGGAGATGAGGGCAAAAAAAGCTTCGGCACGGAAGCCTTGAAAGTGCAGCATGAGGGGCAAAGGAAGCTTCAGCACGGAAGCCTTGAAAGTGCGACACGGAGGGATTACCACTCCGAAAGTACTGAATGTCAACCATCACAGAGTCCTCTGTCAACCCCAGAAGAGGACTGCGCCCCTTAAAAAAAAACCTTACTGTGGCTTGGACAGGTTGTCACTGCGGTAGTACTGAATGTCAACCATCACACAGTCCTCTGTGGTCGAGAGAAGAGTGTTGGAACCACGGAAGACCCTCTACATAGAATACACCAGGTAGGGGGAGGAATCGTACCTGGCTGGTGCGTGGCTGGGACGGATCGTCGCTGCGGTAGTACTGAATATCGACCATCACCGAGTCCTCTGTTGTGCTCAACAGAGTGTCAGAACCCCGGATGAAGCGGAAGAAGATCCCTCCGTAGTTGGCCAGGCCACAGAAACCAAGACGACGCACTGACGCCAAGTCCTTGATTGTAAGGATGAAGTCTGTAAGGGGTACCCGAGAAAGGGAGGCGCAAGGAGACTGGTTCAACGGAGACTGGCGCACATCAGCTCAACTTTCGGGTTGACTTACCGTTTGAATTCACCTTTCAGTTCAAAGATATGAGGAAAGGGGAACGTGGTTTCATAGAAGCGAATGCTGTTCATCCGCGGGACGGGACCTGGGTGTCACTACTGTGTCACTAGAGCATCGTAACATGAGCACCATAGACCTGTGATGCCTCAACGCTTGTAGTTCTCACCTTTGAGTTTGGTAAGTGGGATAAGGAAGGTAGTTTCGTAGAAGCGAATGCCGTTGATTCGCGGGTCCCACAGCGGGCTCTGACCAGATGAGCACCATACCCAAACCTTTCAGACTGGTACGGCAATGAGCTGCAGGGAATGAGTCTCTCTCTCACCTTTCAGTTTGGTGAGCGGGATGAGGAAGGTGGTCTCATAGAAGCGAATGCCGTTGATCCGCGGGTCCCACGGGCACACCTGGCGGCCCAGGGGAGTGCGACCGGCGTCCTCACAGCCTGAAGACGTCTGGAAGCGATTGTGATAGCCCACTGGGAGAATTGGGGAGAGAAGGGGAAGGGGGTGAAGGGGTTATGAGCGGAAGAGGGGGTGACTTTAGGAGGTACAGGCGTTCTCACAGCCTGAAGACGTCTGGAAGCGATTGTGGTAGCCCACTGGAAGAGTGTGTGGGTAAAGGGGAGAGAGGGGAAAAGAGGGTTTGTGGGGGGGGGAGGGAGGAAGGAGGGGTTGGTTGTGTGAAGCGTTCTCCTGAAAAATGTTTTTGTTGAAAAGTAAACCGACAGGGAAATTAGAAAGTGCCATTGTTGGTGAAGCTGCCCTCAAAGTGAACAAGACATAGTCTCTAAAGTCAGCGGGAGCCCCTGAAGAGTGTACCATCGTCGGTGAAGCCACCCCCTAACCTACTTACAAAGTCACAGTGAATCCTATCTTCGTGCTTATAGCGAGTCAGCAGCCTTACCAACGGGAAAGCCCCTGAAGAGGGTGCCGTCATTGGTGAAACCTCCCCCCAAGTTTAGCAGAACGGGCACCTGTGTTGGGGTACCCTCGTGGGTAGTATTGGGGAGTGAGCATTGGAGTGAGCGCAAAATTGCATGTGAATGTGAATATGTTGGTGTTGGGAAGAGAGCATGTGAGCGTGGGTTGGTAGACACACAGGTGTGCGAATATGAATAAACAGAATTGGGCTTTCGGGCTCCGATTGGAGGGTTACGGTGAATAAAGTCAACTCATACCTGCACGGTCTGCCAGAGGTTGCAAATGTCCTGCTCGTTGGTCGAGGTCTGCGTGCGATGGTCTGGAAATCGGGGTTTTTGGTTGAGCAATGCGAGAGTTGACAGACAGACAAGGGAAGGGACAGGAAGACGAGGAGGGCAGAGGGGGCAGAGAGGAAAGGGGGAATGAGCTGGACAATGGGAGTGTACGGAGTGGTTGGTGAATGCGTTGGTGGAAAGGGTACGGAAGGGGAACAGGAGAAGCTGTGACACGCCTCAAACGGGAGCAGTGAACTAAAAGATTAACAAAAAAAAAAAAAAACAAGGAAAGTCCGGTCCAGACATAGTCAAACTAGCCTCACAGATGGGCAGTGTGTAGGAGCTGGTGGGCTGACCCCCTAACCCTAACCCAGTGCCAGTCCCAGTGCCTCAACCCTAACCCACAATGAGCCGACAGGCAAAGGATGAGAGGACGTACCGAGGGCAGCGAGGGCGGTCCGGTCCAGACATAGTCAAACTAGCCTCACAGATGGGCAGTGTGTAGGAGCTGGTGGGCTGACCCCCTAACCCTAACCCAGTGCCAGTCCCAGTGCCTCAACCCTAACCCACAATGAGCCGACAGGCAAAGGATGAGAGGACGTACCGAGGGCAGCGAGGGCGGTCCGGTCCAGACATAGTCAAACTAGCCTCACAGATGGGCAGTGTGTAGGAGCTGGTGGGCTGACCCCCTAACCCTAACCCAGTGCCAGTCCCAGTGCCTCAACCCTAACCCACAATGAGCCGACAGGCAAAGGATGAGAGGACGTACCGAGGGCAGCGAGGGCGGTCCGGTCCAGACATAGTCAAACTGGCCTCAGAGATGGGCAGTGCGTAGGAGCCGGTGAGCTGACCCCCTTAGGAGCTGATTCAGCACTAAGGGCAGAGGTTACGTGCCTAGGGCAGTGAGGGCAGTCCAGATGAAGTCAAACTGGCCTCGGAAGATGGGCAGGGCGTAGGAGCCTGTGCCAGTGCTAAGTCCCAGTGCCTTCACCCTTACCCACTATGAGCCAGCCAGTAGGCAAAGGCAAGGCCGTACGTAGCAAGAGCAGCAAGGGCGGTCCAGATGTAGTCAGACTGGCCTCGGAAGATGGGCAGGGCGTAGGAGCCGGTGCCAGGGTTAGGTCCCAGTGCCGTAAGGAATCACAACACATACCCAGGGCAGCAAGGGCGGTCCAGATGTAGTCAAACTGGCCTCGGAAGATGGGCAGAGCGAAGGAGCGGTGGGCTGACCCCCTCAGGAGCCGATACGATACAGTGCTTGCTAAGGGCGGAGGTTACATACCTAGCGCAGCAAGTGCGGTCCAGATGTAGTCAAACTGTCCTCGAAAGATGGGCAGGGCGTAGGAGCCGGTGCCAGGGCGGGAGACAGGCACCATGTTGTCCCTCCTCCAAAACACACTATGGGAGGGAGGCATGGGGCAAGGAGCAAGGGGGAGAGTGTGGGGCCAGAGGGGTGAGTATGGGGGGGTGGGCACACTGGCAAGAGCAGGGGCAGGGGCAGGGTGTAGGAGCCGGTGCCGGGGCGGGAGACAGGTACCATGTTGTCCCTCCTCCAAAACACACTGGTGGGGGCAGGAGGAGAGTGTGGGGCCAGAGGGGTGAATAAATACACTGGCAAGAGCAGGGGCAGGGGCGGGGGCAGGGACGGGGGCAGGGGCAGAGCGTAGGAGCCGGTGCCAGGGCGGGAGACAGGCACCATGTTGTCCCTCCTCCAAAACACACTGGGGGGGGGCGCAGGGGGGTGGGTAGACATTGGACGGGGGCAGGGGGGTGCGTATGGGGGAGACAGGCACCATGTTGTCCCTCCGCCAAAACACACTGGGGCGAGAGGGGAAGCAGAAGAGGAGAGTTGGGGGGGTTGTGGGCATGAGGAAGGGAGATGATTGTGCGAGAGGAGTGGCGCATGAATGAAGAGCAGAAGTGGCGTGTGACGGGGGCAGCGGTGCGGCGTGTGACGGGGGCAGCGGTGTGGCGTGTGACGGGGGCAGCGGTGCTGCGCAAAGGGCAGAACTCACTCACCTCCGAGCGGCCGGATACCAGTTAAGGTCCGGGAAGGTTGTGTTGAGCGCGAATGGAAGGATCTCGTTCTCGAGATTCGCATCACTGCGGACA